AGGGCTATTAAAATGGTCTGTCTGCCAGTCGATCGGGATTCTGTGTGACCCATCAAAAGGAAGTCAACGGGCACGGCTTACAGGAGTTATCGCGATGGCAGAATATCATGCAGAAGCTTCACTGCCATTCCTATCGTATGCAGAAATTTTGCTTCCATTCGATCTCAAGAGACACTGCAGGGCCAAAAAATGTAGAGGGTCGCAGACCCTCCTGATGACACGCAACCCTTCGCCGTTTTCTCTGACCAAAAAACTCTTTACGATAAAACCATCCCTCAACAACCAAAACGTTCGCGTTCCGGAAAGAAACACATAGCGTGTGATATCTCACAAAATGGTTGCTATAAGAATAGTAAAATGATGTTTTCAGAGGAAATCACTGGCAAGGGTAAGCCGCTCATGGTTGCAGGCATGAAAATCGACCAAGACCAGTACTCAAACAGCCTACTGATGGAAGTAATGAAGCACTGACCCGACTGCGTTTTCTGAGACATCTCGTAGTCCTTCCAGCAGGACGCTACTCCAGCCCACAGAGCCAAGCTTGCCCGCGAGTGGTGCCGACGACAGCTGCCCGACTTCATTGGTGAGGAGGAATGGTCATCCTGTTTTCCAGAACATGATTCACTTGACTCCCAAAAATGGTCCCTGATTAGAAGAGGACCTGATTAGATTAGAGAGAATGATCGTGTTGGCAATCTCAGTTTGGAGTCCTAGAATGCAATGGCTGAAGAGCGGTTAGGAAGAAATGGAGAAGGATACCTGCGTGCCACATGCGATCAAGTCGAGAGCAATCTCTGACTTCTATCCGCGCTCATGGGGGATATTTTGAAATGCGACTGCAGTATGTTGTAGCACATAATGCTAGCAAGCGTGAATTGAAATTCCATCGTCTTTCGCAACTGAGAATTTTCGAATATATTGCTATAATCGGCGCCAATAATTTTGGGACCCCTGTATATCGATCCACAAATTTCACTTCGAAATTCACCTATAGCACCACTATTCAGGCCTTCCCACTCTCTCGGCCACCCAATCGGCTCTCCGACTCAGCTCGCCAAGACAGGAGGTATTGTCCCGTGACCTCTGCGGCTCTTAGAGTCTTAAGGGAGCTTCTTCGCATCTCGACAATTGTCTACCTATTAATGGTGCCGCAGTCGTAAACTGTTTTACAATCCATGGATCAAGAGCAGCCGCCACTTCCACTTTGTCGGAAAACATCAGCTACTCCACATTCCACCGACTACTTTCTATAGAAGAGAATGCCTTCTGATTACAATTATATGTAGCAGGCGTCGTTGCGTACCCTCAGGAACTTTGATGAATGGTGGACTCCAAAAATAAGCCTTTCGAAATTTTCAGGACATAATTTCGTAGAGTATGACGATCTGAGTTGAGCCATATAGCATACTATATAAAAATGTGATTACAACCTAGTTACAGGGAAAAACGAAAAAAGTGGATCCGCATTTTGTTTGCGATTTTTTGAACATTTAGGGTGGGCATTGTGCTTTCCGAAACTCACGTACGATCAAAATCAGCACAGCTGAACAGAGTTGTACACCCTCGAAAAGTCAGCTGATTGGAGTGACGAACTTTCCATCGGAATTCTCACAGTCACACGCATGCAGCAGTGTCTTCGCGGTTATTAATGCAGCCACCAGGCCACCTCTACCGACAGCTGCCGTAGTTAAGATACTTGGTGCAATTCAAAAGGGCTTCGATCAATAATACCACTATCATTAATGACTTTTTGCGATACCGCTTGATCTTACTTACAATTTAACAATTATGCTGCAACACTTCGGAATTCACCTCATGTAATCGAACACCGTAATTTCATTGTTGAGCATCATCCCTTTTCCAAAGTACAACGTTAGTGCGATCAGAATGTATGTGAACGAGTACTGGCACGCAAAAACGAAAGCAGAAATGACAGATTGCCTCTTCATCGCACTGAAAACTCCTCTTTTATTGTAGCGAGTCTACTCCAGAACGGCTTGTATTTGATTAAATTATATCCACTTGGGTTTCGAATGAAAAAGCATACCGAGCTAGTGGCTCCAGCGTATTGGCAAAAACAGAGTAAAAATGCTCTTGCAAATTGTACGCTTTGATTGTGCCCATATTTGATAAGACGACTGAAGCTAGATTTGCTGCTTTGTTTTCCTCTTCGACCATAGCTCTCTGCCTTAAATATATCTTGAATGAGGGATACCATACAACACATGTAATAACGACTTCCACGCCACTAGTTTAATCTTAACATTCGAATAGGCAAATCCATAAGTAAAGAGGTTATTAACCCTTTGACGACAGCGCGGCTCAACGGTGTGCCGCGGTTTTTTGGTCGCGTGGGACAGCGCGGCTCAACGTTGAGCCGCACTCTTTTCGAGGGTTAATCTTTTTGGTTGTTCATTTTTTTTGAAGTTTTTTGTTTTTATTAGATTCACAATCTTCAAATGATCATATACACGAAGTGGGTCGAGATGTACATTGTTAGTTTCAACAAACTTCTGACAAATTTAATCATTCTGCTGAAAATCGCATTTTTTGTGAGTTTCTTGGAAACAATCAATACAAAAATGACTTTTACATTTACTGCATCTAGTATTGACTCGTCTTGTGTTGCTGGAAGCGTAGACGCGCCCGTATTCCCGAGATAACTGTTTGTAACAACCTGTACATCTCTCACGAACTTCTGTTTTCCGTCCGAGCAATTCTTCCAGACTGTGACTAGTTGTTGGCGCGCAGACTCTTTCATTTTCCAGGAGTGATTCAATGACACTCATTTTGAAATCATTAGCCTCATTTTCTCTACCACGTCATTGTACAGTTTCCAGGAATTAACCAACGCTGTCTGTGTCATGGGATGGAAGAAAATCCTGAGATACCACTTAGTAGTTCTCCTCACAAATGGTGTATATGCGGACATTTGGTCGCTTTGATCGACAAATCCCATAACTTTGTTGTAATCTTCGACGACTTGCGGTTTTGCGTTAGGAGTCATGGACCCATCATGTCTCGTGGAAATCATGAATAAATCGCGTTTATCCTTCCACTTCAAAACCAATACTCCATTCTGATTTTGCTGGTAGTACACTTGCCCTCTTTTCAACTTCCTGTCCTTGACTTTTGTTGGTATTCCTTTCCGATTTTTCCTCAAAGTCCCGAACAAGTGTGTGCTGCGTTTCAATAAGCTGTTAGCCAAGGGCACGCTCGAATACCAGTTATCGGTACAGAGATGTCTGTTTTGATCTAGAAGACCGTCCATTAACTCCATGACCACAGATACAGCTACTGGATCCTTCCTTGAATGCTGTCTTCCTGCGTAGATCTTGGTCCTCCACGTGTTCCCACTTTTGCAACATAGTTTGAAAAGCTTAATTCCATATTTGTGCCTCTTGGAAGGAACGTGTTGCCTGAAAACTATTCTGCCTCGAAATGGCACTAATGACTCATCGATGCAAACTTCTTTTCCAGGTCTGTAGGCTTTCTCGCAGTTCGCGTTGAACAGTTCCAGGAAATCGTTGATCTTGTAAAGCCTGCTGCCATCGAATTGATTATTGTCAGCAAAGTGAAGGGAGTTCAGTAACTGCTCGAATCGAGTCCTTGGCATCACTTTTCCAGCAATCGAGTGCCCACCAATCGCAGGTCTGGTACTCCAATAATCTCTCAGCTTCGGCATCTGCACTACTCCCATTTGTATGCATAATCCCATGAACTTTTTGATTTCGGCAGGACAAGTGTCTTGAAAATTAGAATCTTTTGCTCTACCCTGTCTATTCGTTTTTCCAACAATGAGTGAAAGCATTTCCCCGTTCAAGTATAGTTCGTAAAAGTCGATGGATTCGTGGCAGCTGTGTACACAATCATACGGACCAACTTGTTGAGTGAATACGAAGTCATCATGAACTTCTGCATCGCTAATCCATTCGTCCTAACTCTCGCTGTCTGATATTGATAACGTCTCACTTTCCGTATCAGATACATTATCCGTAGGTAATACTAGGGCGTTATTGCGGAAGGAATCGTTTCTCAAAGTCTCCTCTATATCATCATCGGACTCGACTAATAATCTTTCAAAACCAGTCTCCAAGTCATCTACAGCGGGCTGTTCCATTTTTGACTCCTAAAGCTATAATATGCTTAAAGTCAGGGTTGGTAAGGGTAGAAAACTGATACCTACCTAATNCCTACTCGTGTGCACGAGAGATATCTCTGCAGCAGTGAGCTGCACCCACAGGATCATTAAGCAAAGTATAACAAATTGGAATTAGTGGAGTTTGTTGAACAATGTGAAAAAACGTAATAAAGCGACAATAAATAAAATGAAGTAAAAGATGGCTTGTTTTGCCTCTTCACCAGACGAACCGCCATTTTCACTTTCCCCTGAAGCTCGTCAGTGGTTTGGGGTCAGTGGTCAAAGGAAGGTGTGAAATGCATTGTTCAATACAGTTAAACAAAGTACACATATGAAAAATAAGTCTACTATTGAAGATTACTGGAAAAATTTCATAATTCTTCTAACCAGTTTGGTGGTATTCTTGAGATTATCCTTGATAGAATACTTGTAACAAATAAATTTATTTTCATATATACATCTAACTATATTAGCAATTATAAATTCTCCATTATACCCATTTCTCAAAAGAATGTCCATCATTTCCTCTAAGTTTTCGTTGGTTGTTTCAATCCCAAAACACGTGTTGGCAATTCTCAATGATCCCGTATATATCACTGATGCCTCGTTGGTGATAGAAATATTAGTATCACTATAAGGAAATCTGATGCCATTTAAACTAAAATCATCAGGCTTATTATATAGTTTGGAACATACTCTACCATTGATTATATTAATACTCAAGTCTGAATAGTTGCTATTTCTTTCATCCGAATGTGTTTTTTTTTGAGCTCAAGTGTATTCTTATATATCAGAGGAAACTGTTCTTCTACATCCGATTCTGCCTGGTTATGTAATATTAGTAGGCTGTCCATATATCTATATGGAATAAAAAGCTTATTTTTATTGAACCTCTGTTTTTTTGCATAATTATATTCCACTATTGAGGGAGTGAGATCGGCTAGAAGAGGAATAAAGTTGCCCCTTGAGGAACTCCTTTTGACTGCCTATTAATGTCATTAGCAAAAATACAAAAGCTGTTAGATAACAAATAATCGGTAAATTAAAGTAAGTCGTTAATCTTATAGCATCTGTAGTTATCTTTGATTTCTGTACTACCTGTGTAGAAAACATGGAACCCATTGGAGGCTATCATTGATTGGTTAGCATTTTTGAAGCAAGTACTAGGGTTGCCTTTTATATTTCGGGACTGGGCAACTCTAGTGTTGCAATCTGGCAACTGACAGCTCTATCGTAAAGTTTGATCTTTTTGAGGTTGTCGTACCCAGAAAAACCTAACTTAGAAGATTTATTTAGGCCAAAAAAATGGAAATAAATCGTGAACATTTTCGTGCGATTATTTTTTACCTCATTGATTAACTCGACAACAGTGCATGGATGAACTTAGTTCAATTTCTGGCGATAAAGGACCAGCGTTTATCGATGGTATGGTGAATTCATCCGAGGCCGTAGTTCACTCCAAGGCGACTTTCGTGGAGGTCGTCCAAAATCAGTTGTTGCTCCGAAAACCCGTCAAGTGACTCGTCATGCGACCTATCGTGAGATTGGGACAACCTTAGGCATTGGAGGGACCAGCATACATTCAATACTGCATGAACATTTGACCGTCAAAAAAAATTGTTTAAAAAAACTCCACTACGGGCTCCCACACATCGGCTCAAACAACTGCATTTTTGAGCCCTCGAAACAAATTCCGCCCGTAAAACATTGAATGAGAGATCAACTTTTTCGAGAACTGAAGAAGTGGTTGATGTGCTCAGAATGCATGTTTTGGAGATACCTCGATCAAAGTGGGAATAGTGCTTCGAGAATGTTCCAAACGCATGCAAAAGTGTATAGATCTCAACAGGGAATATTTTGAGGAACAATAAAACAATTTTCAATGATTAATACTTATTTTTGTTCCCTAATCCTGGAATACAAAAGGCAATCTACGTATTCAAAAGTTCCGTTATATTGCTTATAATCAAATTGTGATTTGTTTTTGTAAACATCAGTAAATTCGGCAGTATATAATTCAAGATTATCAAGGGTAATGGAACTGAGTTCATGGCTAATATTAATAATACTTATGGACCAATATGTTTTTAGTGTTCCGTTTCGTTCAGTAATGTATTTAACGAAGTGTTTCCTCAGAAACTGAGAATAAGATGTAATTCTTGACCTCAAGGTTTGATACTACTGTTATGAGCACCCGTTATGAATTTAACTGGATTTTTATGTCACTTCGGAAACGCAAATACAATGTGTAAATCTGCCTCCGGAGTTACATTGAGCTTATGACGGATGCAAAGAAGTTCGTTTAATATCAATGAATATTATTACACAGCATGCGTTTTACGTATTATTAGTATTCCCATAGGTATAAGTATTATCAAGCGCATTTTACGTAATTCCCATTTCTTTCATTATGATGCTCAAACAAAATTTTTACAAGTTGTACCGTAATTATTTCCCGCTTTACTCAATGGCCAAAAGACATACTTATTCTGATTCTGTTCAACTACATTACGAGGGAAACATTCTCCCATACTACTTATGCTAGATTTAGTTAGCAGTGGTTTAACTTTTTATGATAGCAAGAGCATAAATGCTTTTAAGTAGGCCTATCTGATATGCGTTTAATTGATGGCTGTTTTCGAAGAACGAAATGCTTTGAACGTGGTATCCATGTAAATGTTTTTTTACTCCACGTCTTGTGATGCCATCGTCCAATTTATATTTAGTTCCTCTTTCCAACAAAGATCTCAAGCCTCTTACCCTTACATAAACTTAGTATCCATGTAAGTATTTTTTACTTCACGTCTTGTGATGCCACCGTTCAATCTATATTTTGTTCCTCTTTCCAACAAAGATCGTAAACCTCTTACCCTCAATGGACTTAAATCCCCTGTTATAACATGAGCTTTTCGTTTAAATATTTCCCAACAGCACTAGTATGGCAACCACAACTACCTCTGATCGCCTCCTCCAGTTTTCCCTTGTCAAGGTTCTTCAAGACCTTGATGTAATTGCATATTCTAGCTGACAACGTATT